GCTTGAGAATGAGCGCAAGGCTTCTTCGCATGGAAGGACTCTTTGCCTAGTGCCTATTGGGGAGGAGTGAATGGATCCGAATGGTAGTCCCTATATGATGTTTCATTATGTCCCCTAGAACCCAGTCCCTTAAGCCTGGACGCCAGGAATGCAGCAGCCTTTCAAGCAGGAGAGATGGTGGATGCCAAGAGACTGGGTTGCTGTTAGGGAAATTATATTACTTTACTATAATAAGGAACCACTAAAATGTAGCATATACCCATATTCTGGTACCTTAGTTTAGGCTCCTTACAAACAACCCAGGAGATTCGCTTGAATCGGATGTCGGCTGGGGCCAGGCTGGGGGGTGCAGGATGCTGCCCTATGGATGATGGAGGAAATCTTGCACCATGATGTAGCTTACACCCTAGAACCCTTAGAAGTTGTAGTCTTTTGGGGATCCTAAGTGGTGCAAGTTTCCTACGTGCACTAAGTAGTAAACCTAAACAAGATATCCCTTTGGATTGCAACGGCGAGAAAGGCTTGGGTGGTCTTCGGTTGTGCAGATGAGCTACTGATCAACATGCTGTCCTGCGAGCCAGTGATAGAGGAGGCAAGGTCTGCAATGGCAGCTGGTGGATTCCAGAATTTAGTGGTCATTTTTGGGGAGTCCCTATGATATAGATTATGGAAATGCCTAGATAGCATGTATTCTTTTCCTCAGTGTGGGAGGCCAACATGAGCGAGCTCAAGAATTTAGCAGTGATCCAAATGGAGCCAGTTGTAAGCAATGTCAACTTTTCTACCAGATGGTGTAGCTATTGGGGTTGTGCAGGATGACAAATGATGGCCGCCAGCAACAGATTGATGCTTGTTGCAGCTAAACCAGGGCTCAGCATTAGACCAGTGGCTCGTGACAGTCTTTTGGGTTTGCATACATCTTTCTGGCAAAGCAGTGGTGAGACTTGTGCAAGTGGACTTGCGGCAGCAACACGACGTGATGATCCTGCTCTACATTCTTGGCTTGTGTCTGAACTTGCATGTACAGGCCTCCCGATCGCCGCTACTAAGCAGGCAGTCAGGAACTCGGCTCATTTTTTTCCATGGATTTGCTTGCGTGGTCATGCTGAGTGAACTTGTGTGAGGCGCTTCTTTGTAGCTACAAGGTTGGGAAGTCTGGTGGACAAGCCTGCTTGCGTGACGACATGCATGTGCCGGTGGACTGTGGCAGGCATCATGGTGAGCTACTTCGATTCAAGAGCCAGCCATTTGCTCCCTGCTTGCAGAGCTTTGTGCTGTGTGGATGCTTACCGATGGGGGGTTAGAAGCCTTTCAGTTGCATCTTGCAAGCCAAGGTTTCGGTGACAGTAAGACAGGAGCATGCGGTGAACCGTGCTTCAGATCTGGCTGGCTGGTCCTTGAGCCATTACGAGGACAGTCCGAGAAGAAGTGGAGCCTTGTGGCAATTACTACCTGGTGCTTGTGCGGGAATCAAGGAATGGATCCCTACAGTAGTTTTGTATACTTCCTTGCATGCAGCGATGCCAAGGTCTGATTCGAATTAGCATCAACATTGAGTCTCAAAAGCAATCTTGACCACAGCGCAAATTTATGCGAACCTGCTGTTTCAGCGGACCTGTTCTCCTAGCATCCAACATCCAGCTGGCGAGGCCTTCTCTCGCAGCTGCCTGCAGCTTTTAAAGCAAGCGCCAAAGTAACAGATTTTTCGGCTATGAGAATTTCTCTGCACACGGACTCAGCCGGGTAGTGACCTCAACATCTATCGATGCTGCAATCCCCGCGCACGAGTATTGCTGCTTTCCAGAATGCGCAACTGTTCACGCTGTGCGAAACGAATGTATTCTTTGTAAGCAAAACCATGGTACTGGCTTGCTGTGTTGAAAACATGAAAACAAAGCATAGAAGATCCAGGCCCAGTTTTGTGTGCACAAGCTTTTTGCCGTCAGTGATAGCAGCAGCAGCTGTAGCGTGTGATAGCAACATGGATCGAGGTATGAAGCGTGAGAAGCTGCCACGCACGAGCAGCCTCCAAACGTGGTTACCCATGGACAGAATGGCAGTTCAATGCCACTGCCTCCCACCGAAATAACAGTCCCTGGAGCAGATAGGGGTGGAGTCACTCGCTGAGAGGACGTCATGTCTTTGGCCGTCCAGCTTGGCGACCAGGGCCCGAAGTTGGTGCCGCGCTGCTGTTCTTCTTACCAGTGCGTACGGGAGAGTTGGGGAGCGGATTTCTAAAACTATCCCCACAGAATTGCATATAATTGCCACGTATACCCCTATTTTAGTACCTTTGTTCCGTCCCCACTCCCCCTTCGAGTGTGTGGTGAGCACCAATAGGGCTTGTGGTGACTACAGGTTTAGTCTGGCAGGTTGCTTTCATCGACGTCCAATTTTCGGAGGACTGCCAGGGTAAGGGGTGCGCATGTATGCGTAGATCGTGGGATCATGGATTGCGCGGGTGAGAGATTCATTGTCAAATGATTCTCGGGCAGGGCAAAACACGATACCATCCCATCTGACTTGCACTTGCGGTCCCGATTCGACCGCGGCATTCCGGATTGACATGCTTGTGGAATGCCTTCTCCGAAGAAAGAATTGGCAAATTTTAGTCCAGGTCAAGGCGTCCTTGAGTGCAAGGACTCCTTGGCGCAGCTTTGGGATCTTGAACGATGGCTTCTGCATTCGCCTCAGGCGCAAAGCGCCTTGGCATGCGTCTTTCGCTAGGGGTGTTCGAGAGAGTGGCCTGAAGCCGAAGAAAGTCCTGGGACCGTAATTTGGAGAAGGGAGCAGCGCGAGATGCAAAGAGGCAGATCGGCTGAATATACCTGCGGATTGGTAAGTTGATGAGGCCGCGAGGTACCAGTACAGTCGCAGAGCATTTGAGCGGTGCGGTTTACTGCATTTACGCTTTTTAGAATGGAATGGAAATTCTGTGCGGACTTGCACGGCGTAGACAAGGTTTTCAGAGCTCGAACTCTGGTCCGAAGTCCTCCGTATGTTTTCAGGATGATAGTTGTAAGGTTCCACAGGCCGCAGGAATCGCGGTCTTGAGCGCCTGGCATGGCCCTTGAAACTTCGGGTATATGCTAGCTTTGAAAACCTTGTAAAGGCATGCGGAACGAATCCGTTGGCCTCCAACAAACTGAACTTCCCAGTGCTCTCCAGAGTTCCTCAAAAGACAGTCAGCTTTCCGTTGCCAATGCTGTGGCAGCTGAGGAAATCAGTTTGCATGGGATATCGCGTGGTTGATTGAGGATGGGTTTTCGCCAGGCAGGCAGCGCTGGCTGCATGCATATCCATGGCACAAGAGCCAAACCAGAAAGTCTATGAACAATGCCCGAAATGACCCTAAAAGCCAAAAACCATGAGCCTTAGTCAAAGGGCCGCTTACGAAAAGCCCTGCAACCCTGAGACCCTGAGACCCTGAACCTGGAGGTGCTATGTTGGTCCGATGCGAGAGCAGCAGATCCAGAGCAGCTGGTGTCAAGTGGTTGGTGCCCAAGGCTGCGGTGACTGCCTGCAATATTCTGAGTTGGCCTTTGGGGACATTAAGGTCTTCTCCTCTGTGCAAAGAGGTCATAAGGGCCCTATCAATAACTTTTGAGGGGGCTGGAAGGGCCCACATTGAAACCGTCTTTTGGCGCTTGTCGCAGCCCTCGCAATTTGAGCATGGTGTTAGATCCCAAGCCTGGAGGTGTTTTGGTGGCCAAGCTTGGAAGTAGATGTAAGGGATTTGTTTGCCGCTTGGTGGATCTTGGTTACAAAATGCTGTAGGATGCCAGCGGCTAACTTGTCACGTCCTCCAGGTTACCTACCTCATCATCATGTCCCAGATGGAGAAGCATCCATGTTTCCTTTGTTGGCTCAATTTTAGCTCCTTTTCGGGTGATTGTCCAAAAGTTGAGGTTCCGGCCGAGCCTTGTTTTGCACCAGACTCATGAGTGGCCAGGCCCCCACAGAGATCCCAAAGTTGGATGCCCTAGGAGAATATCGGGTTTCCTCCTAGGGGGCATTATGATTGTGGGCCTATCTAGGAATTCTTGCGGGCATCTGCCCCCCGTTGTGCTGTAGTAAGACCAACGCGGACCAGGAACCGAAATGACAACTTTCCTTCCCGTGCCGAACATCTTATTGCCCACATTTTTGCCATAGCTCAAAACGTAACGTCTCTCAGAAATCACATCATGTATCACACGCTAGTTTTTCGCAGTAGACGTATCGGGTATACATGAGACCGGTTTTGATAACAAAGACATTATTGCCTCGGTTGGCCATGTTGTACCACGTAATGTGGTCACACATTCACTTTTAGCATGCGGGTGCCAATTGACAGGCCGGTACCTTGCTGATGAAGCCGCGTGAGCCACAGCAGCGACAATCCACCACAAAACTCCTGATTTTGCAGTTTCTGTAGGGTTGTAACTTCAAGGTCCGCAGATGCCATGCAGATACTCAGCAAGCTGAAAACCCAAGAAGCAGATCGCAAGACTGAAGCGCCTTCAGGAAGAAGCAAAGATGACAACTCAAATGCTGAAGAAACTGTGCCCAGACTGCAAGGAACTTCTTCGGTCAGCTCAGCATGGGCTTCCTTCCTTATCCGAAGGTGGAAGATAAGCGAGCCCCAGTGGCACCAAGAAGTTTGCTGGATGGTGGCACTTTCTAGATGGTTTGCCCAAGGATTGGTACGAGACTGAATTTGTCCATCTGGACACGCTGCCTCCACAAGTGCTGATGAATGGCATTATTGGGATTTGTCGTTCGGACCCAGAAGTCTTGGTCATTGTGTGTAGGACTCAGAAAAGCCGACACCACGATGGCGACACATTGAACTCCGACTTGGGGACAGCGGCTTGCATCAGACAGAAGCAGCAATGCCAAGTTTTTGTTTCGTTAATACTGGCTCTAGGTACAGTCTCCTTGCGAAGCATTGGCGCCTCGGAGTTTCGTACATTCACCACTCCAGCCCAAGCTACGCAAGCTGGGGGTCTTCGCTTGCGATGGGCAGTTCGCCAGTGCGAGCACTTTTCGGAGGGGAATCTTTGGTGCACTTAGCGTGTCGGCTTGGAGTTGATATGACTTACCTAGACCTAAACTTGAAGGAGCGGATATTGCCATGTGGACCCGCTACAGCCGCGAGGCTTCGGGTAGCAGCCTCAGCCTTCACTGATCAGATCATCACTGATTTTCGCTGCTTGTCTTGGGACTGTCCGTTTCGGGGGTTTCCAAAGATTGGGGGTCCCTTTCCGGGAGTCTAGATGGTAATAGATTGGACCTTCAATTTATGGAAACCCCATTTGAGAATTTTGGTAACAAGGTTCTTGGTGGAGCCCTGTGGATTTCCCAACTTCTTCAGCCCGGGAAGGCAGAGTTTGCGAAAGATTCCAGCCTATGTGGAAGTGGAATGTATGCCCGCTGTCAAGGCATGGAGGCAAGCAAGATGCTGAGGCCACCGAAGTGTCTTGAGGTCCTGTCTGTACTGAGTAACTGGTGGTTGGCAGGGAGTTGTGGGGTTACTGTAGTAGTCAGTAGTCCCTACAAAATCGTCGAGACTGTTCCCCGTCACCCCTTCCCTAGCCCTAACCCCCTACCAAACACTGTCAAACTGTTGCAGTCTTGATTTTGTTTTTTCCATACCCCCACTCCCCTAAAATTACCCGCTACAACCCAATTTTCACGAAGCACACGGCAGTTGATGTGTGCCAGGCTCGCGTAGAAATCCAGTTGAAGACATCCCGCGAGGTGCAAGGGCCCGCTGCAAAAGATGATTCTTCACAGACTGTCAAGCGTAAGCCAGACATTGGTGGTCAAGCTGCAGAGAGATTAATTGAAAGTAAAAGCATGGTGTTATCTTTGTATTCAAGCAGGAATGGTGACCGAGAGTAGTCAAAGCAGTGAATTCTCCTCAAGCCATCAGATGTTCGAGTGGTTTAAGCTAATGTGTGGAGGTTTTCTTGTGCCCGCGCCGAGTGCCTCTGGCAATCCTGGCTGTGCCCCGGGCCGGCTCTACCTCTGTTGCCAACTGGGCGGTGCGCGGTCTGAAGACACATCTTCCTGGTGCTTGGTACAGTACAGGGCACGGGTCCTGGGGACTATCATAGGGGCTATTATGGGACTTCTTCCCTCATTCACCACTAAGCACCAGGTTAACTTTTGCTTTGATTGCTTAGACCATTAACTGCAGCGTGGCGGAGGGACTCTTGGACGGCCTTGACGGCTGGCTTTTCGCTGCAGGCAAAATGGAAGTTCTGAAAATTCATTTCAGATGCTCCCAAACTGTTGCAAGGCCAATCCCTTCAAAACTCGGGGCTTGTGCAGAAAGCAGAGGCCCGACGCCGTGCTCCTTGAAGCTTCACGTCAGCAGTTGGTGACTGACTTTCCAGGCCAAAGACTTCTCGGTTTGGGGTGCCCAGTGCAGTGCCCAGTTGTTCTTTATAGGTATGCCACGAAGCATCAGGTTGGTATCTAGTCAACCCCGTATCTTCCTGTTGCAATGAGTATGTAGAACAGAGGCAAGCAATGCAGGCGAATCTGGCTTTCCTAATTTTGTGCCAGCAGTTCATGTCTCAAGACCTGTTGCACTTGCCACAGTTTCTGTGCGTAGTGGGACGGGCAACACTTCAAATGCCTACTTCAGGCATTTCTGCCTGCGCTGCTGCAGGGTGCGCCTACTTGACATCCATCCACAGTCAGTGTCCATCAGCAAAAGCCAAATGCCAGGCAGGAGCTGAAAGGCTACATCTGATCGTGATGCGGCCAGGGCAGCTGTGTTGCTCTGCCAAGCAACATACTGTTACTGCCGCAGGTCTCCGTTTGAGAGGTTGAAGTCCCACTTCCACCGCAGCCAGGCGTGCTTTGTGTTCATGATTCATGGTTGGGATCACCATTCAGCATCGTCCAGCTCAGGTCAGTCGTGGAGGGAAGTGGTCGGACTTTGCAGGCCGCTCGTGGCACGTGCTGAACACTGCTTGCAGGGAGGCGATGAAGTTTTTTCATCCGCTGGTAGCCTGTCTGCGGCACCAGTCGCATAACTCGAAGGCTTGTTCAGCAACACCTGAAGCATGTTATGGCTTTTCAAGCCTGCCCTTCAAGCGGAGATTTTGAACGGTTCGGGGTCCTTATGGGCATGTTAGGGACGTAGATGGGAGAGCCCTCATTACTGGAACCTCCCAGGTAGCAATAGCACATGATTGACCGAGACTTGTGCTCATGACTCACTCCCAAAAGATGGGTGTGGAAGAGTGATCCGCTCAGCGGTTTGAGGTGTCGCCATATGGTAAAAAGATGTGGGTATACTTTTTCATTCGATTCTCCGTTGCTGGTGGTAATTTCCTGGACCTGATACATCCCTAAAGACTCCAGCTTCCACTTTCTTTCCCAATTTAGATACGTGCTAGTTGTTCAAAATACCTCTCCCCTTAAGCTAGGTTTCCGTTTTCATTGCGATGTCCCTTGAAGAAAGTGTGTCTCTGCAAGGTTTTTGGAACAACCCCCAAAACCCTGATCCCTAACCGTATACATCGACCTCTTTCTGACCCCATATAGCCCTCTTTGCTACTTGAAATCGTCCTAATTGCAGGCTGGTGGCAATGGGCAGCAAAAATGCTCGCTAGCGAGGCTAAGCCCTCTTGCGAGCGGGGCTCAGATAGTCGGAATCTTACCCCAAGACTAGATTCCTTAACAACGCGTACGCAGGATTGCATCGAGGATTCCCCGTGAAGTGGTCACATAGGAGACATGCGATAGTTCGGGGGTTTTGATCAACGGTCTAGGTATTGCCCACAACCGAAGCTTGGAACGTGAAATGGAAAATATAAGGTTCTAGGTTTTGGGGTTTAGGGATAGTGGAGAATCGTGGAACAGAACATGGAACAAAGCACGGAAGCGGTAGTGTTTTGCGGTGGAGGTAGTTCCCAAGGAATCCCCCCCAAACAGGACAGACCCTGTAAGGATCCCTGGGTCGCTTGTTTTGCGCTTTTGCTGGAGTCCTTCTTGGGTCTGTCCTGTTTGCGGCTCCTCGGAATCCACCCTAGCAAAAAAAGACCTGGCAATCATGTGACGTTTATTGGGTCGTCGAGGTTACCAAAATCCTCTTAGTGTACCCTGGCTTGCATGATTTCCAGTCTTTGCCATTCTTGTGCTGACTGTAAGAGTGAGTGGAGGGGTGAATATAGATGCTATAGTGGGGCTGTACATGTGTATATGCATCTGGATAAACAGTCAGAGCAATCCTCTTCCCCACTCCCAAGGACCCACAAATCGCCTTCACAGCCGTAGTCCAGGTTTTGTTCGATGCTTGCCCATTTGTGCCAAATGTCGTGGTGTGATTGATCTCCAATTCGCAGCTTTCGGGTGGTGTGAATCGTCCAGTCACTACATGGAGAAATTGATCAGTCTTTAACTTCTAGCCGAATGAAATCCATTCAGCCCTGATTGTGCGGGAAGAGAAGCTCAAGAAAAAGTGTTGGAAGCAGAGGAGGCTCAGGTTGGGTTGTGGCTGAGAGTGCGCTGCGGGTGGCAGAGTCTCTAAACCCGAAACTGCTAAACCGACCGATCCCTACACCTACACATAAGCCTTCGTGGGTTGGCCAGCAAAGTGCTCGCTCAGGGAATCTTAGTGCCCGTGCATACACGCCTTGCCCAAGTTTGGAAGAAGGCTTGCATGAGAAGGGGTCTCCAGGCGTCCCAGTTTGTGCGAAAGGAAGCAGATGAAGTATTCAGAAGGAGCAAGCTGAACATGATCCAAGCAAAAGCAAGCAAGGCAGCTGTAATGCCATTCAACGCCTTGCAGATATCTTCCGAACTTCATGAGTACGGCACATGTAGCTGACTGGAGTTTTGGTGTACCGAATGCAAGCACATTCTTTCTTGCAACTCAAGCTGGTCTTTTTCTGTGGGCACGTTCAGATGAGGCCTACAGCCGGAACTTCAGCAGCTACCAATGGTCGATGTCTGATGCGTCGCTCCTACATGCTACATGCATTCCAGACATTGTTTCTCCACCAGTGCCTCTGCTCAAGGAATATCACCTGCGCCCGGTTCATAAGATTCTTGCTCGAGCGGGCTTGCGCCTCGATAAATTTGAGCCCTGAGCCCAGCTGATCTTTTTTGATGGTTCATAGGGAATGAGGGAATGGATGTCAATGGTAGTCACTCTTTAATCCTCTGCGAGAGTCGCGAGAAAACATTGCCCCCATTCCCTAGTAAGCAGCCGGGAGTTGCTCAGCGCGTCTTTTTTAGCGAGACTGATAAATGCAGGGTGTAGTTCATGGCACGTGGAAAGCCGTCGTGGCGGCGTGCGCATTCTCTTGCATCCGGCAAATGGATCATACCCCCTAACCATGATGACATCCATCCCCGATTGCACACAGTACCGTGCCAGAGTCAGAAAAATGTCCATCCTCGATTGAATACATGGACCAGTGTATCACATGCAAGGCACATTACGTCCATAACGTCCATACATCCAGAATGCGGCCAAAGATGACCAAAGTATACAGCTATGCAAATAAGATGCATGTATAGGTATATATATATATATGCAATACCTGCCCAAACACAAACCATAGTTACATTCATCCACGCTGTCTTTCGTTACCAGACCATCCATTGCCAGAAAGCACAATGAATTCCATGTTCGACTGCATACAGGGACCGTAGCGGACAGCCTGCTGCAGGAGACAAGGTGCCCCTTAGCGAAGCTCCGACAGTGCAAGATGCGTCGGTGTGCAACAAGCATAACTTGAGGGCAACTCTTAGCGACCTCAGACCTCACAAGGCCTTACTGCATGAAGAGAATGGCTTTGATTCAAGTTTCTGAATTGTTGCTGCGAAGCACCACCGAGGCCTGGAGTGCAAAACCAGCAAGAAATCAAAGATGGACTACCGCAATGGGCCCGCAGTTTTCCTCCCGTGTTAGGCGCATGTCCCCGCTTTCTCGCAGGCTCAAAAACAGCGGGAATCATACCAGCTCAAGTGCGGTCGCACTCACTGCAAGAATGCTATTCCACTTGACACGCAACCCCAAGGACCCCAAACCTGGAGGTGTTTTGTAAGTTGGGGAAACTTGCAAATCCGGAGGTTTCGGGGTTGTCAAGACCCATGCAGGGCCATGTGACCGACCTTTGGGCAGCCCAGGTGTGAGCGAACCTCCTCTGTCCAAGAGAAAAACCATAGGCGGTATTAATTACGGTTACTGCTCATTCCTAGTATCGTTGCTGTGCGTATTCTTATCACTATTCGTGTTATCTCGTACTATTCCAGGCTCAAAGGACGTCTCCAACCCAATTTGCGCGAGGATTGAGGCGTCAAGAAGTCAAGAAGCTGTAGCCGTATAGCCCATGGGACGGCATATTTCATTAAGTGCCCTGCTCAGAACTGAGGCTCCTCTGCCATGTAGATGCAAATCCTGAGGCGAAGATGTGGTTGCTGAGTTTGAGCTTCTAGGGTTGCAGCCGGACTGGATGGCACGCAAGGCTGCATCACGGCTTCGAAGCGTCAAGCAGGCACGCTTCAACTCACAGGTCTGGGATGTCAGTCGCACCAGCCAGCAAAGGTGATTGTCTTGCGCCTGGAACGTTCTGCACCTAGAAGATCTCTCTAGGTGCTTAGTAACGGACGAAAGAATGGATACCTATCATAGGTATAATTATTTATAATCCATTCTCTCATTCCCTAATACACACCATGGACGAGAAGCGGCGTGTTTCGCCTTTGGAAAGTATAGTAGTTGCTTCGAGGCCTCGCCACGGATTTGGTTCACGCAGCCATCTAAGTGTACAGATGTTTGGTGTCCAGAGTTGCCAAAACCTGCTACATTGCTGAGAGGTCCAGAGCCTTCTTTGCAGCAGGCCATTGCTAATGAGTGCCCTGTTGTAAGTGGCGTTCATCTTTATGTTTGTGTAGGTTGCTGTGGTGCCGTGCCCTCCATGGCATTCCACGGGTGCATACATCCAAGGCAATGGGTCTCTGTAACCTTGCAGTACAGCAGCAACTGCGGCTGCCGCCGATGGTGTTGTTGATGCTAGAAACGCTAGTAGTGAAATCGTCGTACATCCATTTCCGCCGCTGCCTCCGCGGGGTCTTTTGGGCGCCTCTGGTTGCTTGTTGCTGTAAAGTGTCTCAAACAACATGCAGAGTCACAGTTCTGGTTTCGACTGCAGGACAGGAAACAACGTCAAATTGCATCTGGCAGGGGTGCGAAAACCATCGAGCTTGCAAGGAACTCAAACGGTTTCGTGGATGTTCATTGACTTGAGAAGGAGTTAGAAGCAATGTATAAGCTAGATGAGGTCCCTCCTCAGTAACAGTTCAGAGTTCCTCCAGAGACTAAACACACAAGACGCAATTAGCACCAGGAAGCCTGATCAGATTTGGGAGGTTCCAGGCCAGGTGTAAGGCCACCATGATCCGACTTGGGAGGATCCATAGCCAGGTCTGAGGCCACATGATCAGACTTGGGAAGGCCCAGAGGAAAAGAGCACAAGGAAAAAATGCTAGGAAAGCGCCAAGGCCACCAGCACCAGGAGGAGCACCAGGAGCACCAAAAAGAGCACCAGGATGAGCACCAGAAAAGCACCGTACAAGGAATAGAAACTTCGAGCACGAAGCACCAAAAAAAATCACAAACTAGGAAACGCGTCAGACAAAAAAAACAACAGAAAAGCACAAAAACACACACACTAGTACACACGAGCACCAGAAAAAGCACCGCGAAAAAATGTGATTGGAGCTTGATGGTGTCTACGCCTGACGAATTTTTGACGCTCAAGCAACCGAAAAGCACCAGGCCTCCTGGGGCCTGGTGGGGACCTCTCGGAGCCTCTGAAGCCCCTGGCGCCTCTTGGGCCTCTTGAAGCCTCCAGGGGCTTCTTGGGCTTCTTGGGGCAGGGCCTGTTGGGGCCTCTTGGGCCTGTCGGGGCCTCTTGGGGTGTCTTGGAGCCTCTTGGAACACCTTGGACCTCTTACTCTAGGGTGTAGGTCCGGTCAGTGTTGATGGTTAACTTGCTGGGCAGAAGTTTGTTCATACTTTGGGACCAGAAGGACACCAGACGTGAAAGTATGATCACATTGATTCTCAAGATCTGAACTTTTGCTGGTGCTTTTTCTGGTGCCCCTGGTTTGTGCCCACTGTTACTGGGCAGGGGCCGCGGCCAATCTATAAGCACAAAAAGCATATTGAAAAGGGATCTCCATAAGGGTCAGTACGGGTTTGCAACAGGATTGTGGTTGCTCGTGGTCGTTGCTCCAGAAGGGCTTTTGGGACAGACGGATTCCAGTTTCTGTTTCAACCCGCAAACAGAAGAGAAGGCTTGTAAGAGGACGGGATCACGGTTTTGTGTTTGGTTGTGGTCGTCGTCCAGATGCTGCATTCAAAGAATCTTTGTGCTCAACCGCAGCGATTAACGGCACTGGATGCTTCTGGTGGTTGTCTCTGGATATAGGGAGCATTGGCTGCGCATGGCTGGTCTCTCGATCTTCTCGCATGGAGACTCAACCAGAACCCGCCAGTGGAGCTTCAATCGACCATGAGTGAGGCAGAAGAGCGGCTGTTGGAGAGGCCTCCTCAAATGTTTAAAGTGCTGTATGAAACGTTGCGCTTGCGTTTGTCTTTGTGTTTCTGTGACGAGAAGATGAGGCTAAGCTCACTGGCTCCGGGAGGATCCTGTCTGGAACCTGTTTTGCGTGCCTTTCAGCAGGATGACTTCCTGACGGAAGTGCAGCAGCATGTGGGCCGCAAGTGCAGCATTTTGTCTTGCTTTTTTATTCATTTCATTTCCCATATACACCACTATGCAAGCGAAGACGATCGGGCAGAGCAGTTTCAGTGAAGGTTCGTTTCCGAAAGGGCGCAATTCTTTACCGTAACTTGTGCAGATGGCTCGCACCCACTGATTTGGACGCGCTATCACGAGGAATACAAGGAGTTGTTTGAATCACGCTTGGGGAAGATCCTCCATTGTCTAGATGTGGATGCCGGCGAGTTTGCAAACTTCTGTGATTGGCTGCGAGTTAATGCCGACATCTTCGAGGAATCTTCACGGGCAGAATCGAGTCAGAACTATAATGTCCAACTGCACAGCATACTAATCAAGTTGCACAGGTATTATATGGTGTTATGATGGTTGCGCATAGCCGGGGGAAATCTTCTTTGACAAGCGATCGTAGTTGGGATGTTGTGCATGCCACGCAAGCGACGTTACAAGCACGTGCGGAGCGCCGGGTTTCATCGGGGACTTCGGTGGAAAGTGTGGTAGTCGTCCTGAAAGTGTCCTTGGAGGGGCTTGGGACCTGGGAGAAGTCTGGGAGATCAGGTGCAACGAGGTCAGTGGCTGGCCGTTTTTCCATTTCTTGCGAGGACAGGGAGACCTGGCAAAGATGTTGTGGAAATGGGTTGAAGACGGGAGCCCTCGTCATGTTCCAAAAGCTAGTCGCGAGGCGAGGCGAATGGCGAATTTCAACTCTAGCGCAGAGACCTCCGAATTCAGAATCCTCAGTGAATGATCAGCACGGTGCTGTGGGCAGGACGACACCGAAGAACTGTACCCGTTTCTGAAGACGGTCACAGCTTCGCTGGATGCCTGGCTCAGTTCAGATCTTTTGCAGGTCTGGGGAATGGGGAGGCTTAAGCGCTTCGGGCCTGCAGCTGCAACAGCAGGATTATGGCACCTTCCTCACAACGGTGTTCGAGGAAGTTCGCCGACAGCAGCTGTCTACAGATGCTGACACCTACGTGGACCTAAATGTAGAAGTCCCAGAAGGTGTGGCTCCTGGCCAGCTACTTGTGGTGGAATACTTGGGCGTACGATATGAGGTCGCGGTGCCCGAGGGCCATGGACCAGGGATGGTGTTTCAGACGCGCGTTGCTACAGAGTAGGTCAGTGAATCTGAACGTAGCGCTGTCCAAGGGTGAACGCCAGCTCAGCTGTGCTGAAGTGCTTTGTGATGATTTGCTGCCTGCGAATGCCTGCGATAGCTGTCACTGTGTCCGACAAGCGGGTCCCGGCAACGGTGTCTCTTGACAGCTTGCCGCGTTGTCTCGCATCTGTGGTCGGGAAAAATGGTGCCCCGTTGAGTTCAGCCTGCAGTTTTTCTTTCAGGCCATGCGAGTGGCGTGCAAGAAAGGGATGGGCTGCTTTCAAATGGAATGCAAACAGTAAAGGACAAGCCCTGTTTTGATGAAAAGTGGCTTTGAGCCACAATTGTTGACAAATGCGATGCTGCTAATGGTTACGCAGAACGGTTCTGCTTAGCAGTTCAGACTGGCAGGCGGCACGAAAGACTGAAGAACTTGCCTGGTCGGCAGAGAGTGTGGAGTGGGTCAAGGAGGTCTATGCCAAGGCGTGGTGCAATGCAGACATGCGCAAGGCCACCTGGTGCTTGGTAGGGAATGAGGGAACAGCTCCCTCTATGATCTCATACCTATCTGCTGAAAGTCCAGATCCCTACTAAGCTCCTTAGACCCTAAATCATGCGGCAGCTTCCGTTTTTCTGTACTAAGCAGTAGTGAGCCCAGATGGGTCAGTCGACTTTGCCTGAAAGGATCTGTGGCTGGGGAAGTATGCGAGAATTCCAGTTGCGCTCCCGCAGGACCTTTGGGATCCAGGGGGGCTGTCAAGATTAGGATCCCTCTTGGGGATGCCTGGAAATTTAGAATCAAATGCAAGAGAACATGGACTACGAAATGGAAACAGGAAATCTGGGTTTGGGATATTGCAGGTTGTGAAAAGAATTGTCTTCTTTTTGGGTTCTGATTGCAATACGGCCTCCAATTCTCGGGGTACCAGAAGGGACAAGAATCCTAGAGCCCATTATGGAATGGGGAGCGGATTTGGAGGCCAATAATTAGGGAGCAGACTGTCAGTCACTCGCTCCAGTGCATTTGCCAGTTTGCTTTGCACAGCGGCAACCGGCCACACACCCCTGCCGAAAACAACGTAGGTTTTATTGTTCTTTTCATTTGGGGCTGAATGGGATCCTGTGATTCTGAGAGGGTACGTGCCCGGATCTGGTTGGGGTTTTGGGGTTCTGGCTGTTTGGCAGCAGGAGCTTGAATCTTTCAACGCTGGGCAAGCCGCCCCGAAAGGAGGTAGAGTTTTTGTGCTTTTGGCAGTCTGGACTTGCATGCACCAGGGTGTGCAACGGGTAGAGGAGCGTTTCCAGAGAAATTCGTGAAAACTATGAACACCTTTCGGCCAAAGGCACGATGTTTTTGGAGACTCCTCGTTTCTCCACGTTTTTCCATTCTCTTGTGGAGGATAAAGGAGGTCTGATGTTGCGATGGATCCTCAGCTCATCCATTGCCACTCAGTCGGTCTGCCTCTCATCCTGCGGCTTCGAACCATCACTTGCACTCACCGTGCGCAATTAGTTGGACGATGTTGGACGTGCCAAACATGCTGTGGGCCTAGAATCCAGGCCCAAAACGGGCCTGAGACTTCCAACTCGTAAGGCTCGCTGCAAGGAAGGGGTGGTAGCAGAGCTGATCATGCTGATGCTCGGTACTTGCTGGCCTCATCTCTGCTGATGGCTGCATCTTTGTTTCAAGTCGCTTGAAACATTTGAAACGTTTTGCTTTGTTTCTGCTCTCGCTGCATGTCAGCACAGGAGATTCCTCGAATGTTATGGAGTGAGCGCCAGTGAATTCTCGCTTAGCAAACAAGAGTCAAAGTTGGCGGCGCGACCTGATCGATAAGCTGTGCAGTACGATCTTACTTCATGCTGAGCAGTCGTGATGTCTCAAAATCAGGATGCACGAAGGTAGGAGGTGTTCCCTGATCCATTTGTACAGTTGCCTTGAAGCATTGTAGAACTCCAGCAAGTGCCGAGCCCAGCCCAACTCGTATCGCATGCAGCGTGACACGACGTGGCTGATGTGCCATGGACTCGGAGCAGGCCGCGGAGACCTAAGCAAAGCATGGCGAGCGTTTTCTTTGGGCCTCAGCTTGCCAGGTGTTGCTACAAAGGCGAGTGCAGCAGCTGGAGGCGTGTCACACGGCAAGACAAGAAGATTGAAAGAATTGTACACAATGACAAGGAAGGCCTTCAGCGTGCGTGTGAAGAGGTTGAGGTTGGCCTGCTGCAGTTGGAGTTTTGCACTTGTCTTGTTCCTTTGACCGAGGCCTGCTCAGTACTCGTTCTTTCCTTCGATCGCGGTGCATGCGGTGCATGCGACTGAGTTGTGCATCGCTGTGTGCCACAAGTACTGATGTTTGTCGTGGCTGATACCAGGCAGTCTCCACGCCGAGAGGCTTGCCATAGCCGTGTCTCGATTCGATTCGGAGCCTTTCTTGTGTCTCTCTGTAGCGAGGGCGAAGCGAGAGCGCACTATCTCCTCGGATTTTTGGCGATGCAGAGACGAGTCGTCTCAAGGCTGCTTGTTGGGCTTTCCTGGCAACAAGGGATCCCGCATGATTTTCCTGCATTATGAGTACTTACGTTTGCCACGCTTTTGTTTCAGGTTGATGGTTGGCAACGCAGCTTGCATTGAATCCTCTGTAAGAGCACGCGATGAGAAAATGGCACCCAATGATTTGGATGTGAAGGAGGGGCCAGCATCATTAGCTTTTTTGTTTCCCTGATTCGTGCCCCGGGACCCTCCACTACTAGCTTTGTGCTCTATCAAAAATGCAGATACCTGGACTCAAAAGAACAGTTGATTGGGCAGGTGGCGCAGTGTGCCTGTACCCGCGCAAGATAAGAGGAAAGCATCATCAGCATCACGGTGTGTAAAACCGCCCATGTGGCGCTGAATGCTTTTCCATTTCCATCAACTCACATGTGAAAGCTGTAAAAGATTCCTCAATGGATTCCTTCAGTATTTGCTGAACTTGAGTTGGAAAGTCTTCAGGCTCGCATCGAGGTCTTGGAGGAGGCCTGCGATCCCTTTCACATTTTTGCTCGCAGACAGGTGCAAACTTGAAGCATGCTTTTGTGCAGTCATTACTTTAATACGAGTGGCCGTAATGTTCAATCTTTGATGCCAGCTTCGTATGAGCTACTTTAGAGGTGAATGCCCAAGTTTCCGCACCCTTCCTCGTTTGATTTGGCGTGCCTGTTGCTCACGGCTCCCGGGCCCTCTTGGCAATAAAGCAGTTTGATTTTCACATGCTTGCAGAAAGTACTTCTTTTGTGTATGCCTTTTGCAACGACACCACAGGACTTGTAGTGCCGACAGCACCCAGATGCTTCGCATTGTGCAGGCAGCTTCGGGGAGCGAGCTGCTCCCCATGCATGTTGATGATGATGATGATGATGATGATGTCAAGATTCGCGTGCTGGATGTAAAGGGGCACTTGCGCGAGCATTATGGTTGGCCTCGGCCTTGCCAACGCCTGCTCTCTGATGGCGCATGCATTGAGGATGATGTAAGCGTGGACTTGCCCGCTGAACTCCAACTCGTAGTTTTGCCATTTGCTGACATGTTGAAAGACATGTCCGACAAGGTGAAGTTTGAGGAGCTTGAGGTGGCATCTCGAAATGGTCACCTGGAAGTAGTCCGCCTACTCGCGGAAGGTGCGCAAGATGTTTTGGGTCGTGATGATTATGTGACAGCCCTCTTAGCGGCCTCTGGCAGTGGCCACTTGGATGTTGTTCAGTTTTTGACAGAACATGGGCAAGACCTCCTGCAGACCGAGATCTATACCGAGATCATTAATGATGATTATCATGATCATTATGAATCACCTTGTGGCGATGCTTTGAGGGTGGCATCTCTGCATGGCCACCCGGAAGTTGTGCAGTTTCTCTGTGAACATGCGCAACATGAGATGGACTCTTGTGGAGCTTACCCTGCGGCTCTCGAAGCAGCATCTGGCAGTGGCCACCTGGATATTGTGCGGCTGCTCACAAAGCTTGTGCAGCATGATCTCGAGGGTTCTGACTATTTGAGAGCTCTCTATTCGGCAGTTCGCAAAGGCCACCTGGATGTCGCTCGGTGTTTGATTGCTGGCATTGAACGTGGCAGTGGTTATCACGTAGCTTTCAAGGCAGCATTTTCAAGCGGCCAGCCGCAAGTTGCGCACTCGCTGTCTAAAGATTTGCTGCAGCACTTGGAAGATGGTTGTGACATGGACCAGGACGATAACTTCCTTATAAGTTACTTCACGTATGCATGCCTTGCAGATGATGCAGAAGGAACAGCAGCTCTGATCAAACGTGGTTGCCTGGATCTCAACTTGGCACGTGAAAAAGCTTCATCCGCTGCTCACTTGCTATTCAAGGCAGGTTTGTTCTTTGGATCGTGTATGGGTTCACATCTGGGGTTTCAGGATGGGGCTGATGTTGTCACCTCGGATGGCGAGTGCTTTATGAACATGGCATGTTCCGCTGGCGCAGCAAATGTTGTTCGTTTGCTGTTAGAGGCACGAGTGGATGCAGGCCAGTACGCTCTCAAAAAGCTGGAACTATCGCGTGTCTACGGCAAGGGCGTGGGCAAGACAGCATTTACAAATGGCCTGGAATGTTCACCTCTTTGCCATGCCTGTTTCTCAGGAAGCCTTGAATGCGTGCGCCTGTTGTTAGAGGCCAAGGCTGATGTGGCGGTGAGTGTTTTCAATCTCTGCCCGTTAGGGTGGCTGCTTCTCGTGGCTATCCCGAAGTGGTGGGATTGCTGCTTGATTCTATCGCTAGCAGGAACGAGCACCCATATACGGACTATCGAAACGATTGGCATTGGCCCTGTGGCGAACCATGTTCCTCAATCTTAAAAGGTGAAGGAAAAGGGAAAGGAAAAGAGAAAGGAAAAGATGCTGAGAATGATGATGACAATGAGATTTCGCTCTCATTGAGACGGTGGAACGAGCAGCAGGACAGCAAGCAGAAGGGCGGCAAAGGACGCTGATTTCTAGGGCCCCATTTTGTAATTTCTGCGCGGTCAAGTTCCCGATCTTCATTTAGTAAGTCGCCTTGAAGAGTCAAAAGATGTGCTTTCATGTGACTTGATGCACCTCGTTCCGTCATCAGCGTCTCTTTGAGTTAGTCCTTGCCGCTAACGTAAAGCTCAGGTTGCCACGCCCTTGCGCAAAGTCTCTGTGGATCTGCAATGGGGTTGCTGCGGGTGTCATAGTTGGGATCTCATGCTCTGGGCTGAGGGTATCCTGGGGATCGAGCTTGAAACCTGGCTACCAGTAACCTGAGAAGACTGGCTTTAGATGTGGGCTTCCGTAATTTAAAAGCAAAGGTGGACTCCTCAGTTGTTTGCAGGCACACTTCTCTTAAGCATCCACTGGCGGTCATGGTGATCACGACAGATAGTTGACGACGTTTTTTCCGTTGTTGTTGTTGTTGCTGCTGGTAGCTGCTAGTATTCTTGGCAGGGGGCCCTTGGGTTAGCCACCCCGCGTGATTGAGTCGAAAGATCAGTTGGAGAGGTTCTCTTTGTCTCGCGGAGGTTTATGACCTCCACCACATAGGTGAATTACAAAAGGAATGAACATGTGGCATTTCCAGCTCGGACATTTGATACGACTACGGCACGTCCACGTCACAAGGAACATCGATCGTTTTTGTTTCTGGCTGCGCAGAAATTGGGCGACACTGTCCTTCAGTTTGACTGAGAGGAGAAGGTCTGCCAGTCGTGTCTAGTAAACCTTGCTGTGGCTTCGAATCTTGCGTGTCCATCGGGCGAAAATCTGAACCCTAAACCATAAGCCACAAGCAGTAAGCTGTTGCGAGGCCTGGGCTTTGCGAAGTACGACTCTGGCACAACACAGCGAGGAGCTTTACTTGAAGTGCCGGTAGCAGGTGCAACACGTAAGCCGGCAGACATGCCCACAGTCCAGATCCAAACACGCATCTCTAGACTCTACACAGCAACGTGTATCAAATTGCGGTGGTGTTTGCGGCCCACAGGACACGAGGGGATCTCTGACCAACATCTAACGGTCTTTGACAAGAACTCGCGCCTTGCTGCGCGTACTTTGATCTGCAGGAGTCGCTTGCAAGAGTTGAGAACGAGGCCTCGAGCTGCACGGGCGTTTTGATGGATGGCATGAAGCTCATTGATTCTGCAGGTCAGGGAGCTCTGGAGAGAGTTGTCCAAAGGTGGCTTGCCTCGTAGTGTTCTAATGAGCGTCAATCACCGTCCGAGTACAAAAAGACGCTGAGGCATGATGTTATGAGACTGGCAGTCTTGTGGACGGGGTCTTTTCACTGCCCATGACAGGGACGGCCTCGCAGCCCGCTCAACGGCCAGTGCAGGTTTCTGCTGTGGATAAAGTTGCTGGCAATTTCAACTTTGAAGCGCCGAAGGGTGCCAGGTTCCATTTCCTTGAGGATTCTTTTGTGTGCGCTTGTTGCAGGCCGCAGCTATCGACACGCTGAGCAAGCAAGTGGAAAAGCTCCGCGTTGAGGTAAGGATGCATGGAACCATGTTTGTACTGTAGTAGCATGCCCACTCATGTTGTGATGTGTGTTCAAGGGATACGCAGCAAAACGATCAAGCTTTAATTCATGGCTTGGGTACACAAGCTTCCTGGCAGTCAGTTGCTCATCATGCAGACTTAGGGTTGTGCCTGATCCTTCTGCAGGGGTGTGTGGTCTTTGCTATTATGTGTATGCGATGAGCACTTCTTGATCTTATTCAAACGGATATAGATGTCCTCTATAGTGCACAGGCGTTTCTGGAGAAGACTTCCATTTAG